CAGCTGGGTGACCTTGGGCCAGTCACTTTCCCTTAGCCCTAGGAAGGAGGCAATGGCAAATCACTTTTGAAAAACCTTGCCAAGAAAACTGCAGGGACTTGTCCAGGCAGTCTCTGAGAATCAGACACCACTGAATGGATTTTTAAAAAAGTAAGGGAATAATTATGCTGCTGAGCCAACAGAGTTATAGGATGTATGTACGAACTAGAGCTTTACACACAAAATATCATCTGTCTGGATATTTTCTACTTCTTTGTTCCCTGGAGTCATCTAATCATCCAATGGGAAAAATCAGAACTTTCCCCTATCCACCCAGCTCTCATCTTATTAACTGAATGTACAAACCTAGACAGATGGGATTGTAAAATGGAAAATCTTACCAAAACTTTTGTTTTTTCCTCCACAGGGGTTTTTTGGGGGGGGGGGGGACCAGATCCCTGACACAAAGTAAGACCAATTGTTCATTTATATCAGTTCCAAGCCACACTGACTCAAAAGTAGTCTCCATGTTTGCTGATGGAGTCTTGCAGAGCTTTCCTGGGAAATATTGGGGGGGGGGGACGGGTGAACCTGGGACGTTTCCATGTCCAAAGCAGATGGTCTCCTACAGAGCTACATACTTTCTCCTGCAATCAGAGAATAACTTTTCATTTAGATAATGACCTCCTGCCTATGCTCAACAACTCAGTTTGCCAAGTTTGTTTTGAATACCCAGCCTGCCAGTTGTGTTACTAGAGCTATGGATTCTGCAGTCATCTTACTGTGGTGTAAACATGTACAAAACATTTTGATTCCAATTCTTTTATATTCAATACATTCATTTTGAGTAAAAAGAACTGTTTCAAGCTTAAAGCAGATTGTTTTGAGCAGCTTTGGAAGAATATCAAGCTAAAAACAGCTCTATTTCCACTTCGAAATGGTTCCAGAATGCTTGAGATGTTTTGCATAGCAGTGTTGTGGTGTAACCTGTTGTTCCTGCCCTTTAGTTAAAAGATCTGGATTATGAGTGCTCATTTGGTGAAAGAAGAAACAGCTAATGCAAAATCATATTTGCAGGCATCTGGAGGTTTATAGGGTACAGACAAGGAAACTCTCAGCATTATAAAAATACAATATACACCTAAGACTTTTTGGATTGAGGATTTGGCATGAAGACAATTTAACTGATTTTGAACTATATTAAATGTGTCTTTAATTACCAATCAATGTCACACTAAACTCCCAAAGTGGAAGCTTCTATTTAGCACTACATTATTAAGAATACCAGATAAATTCATCCATCTGTCACTTCAGTAACAGAAGTAATTGTAAAAATTATGAGAAGAATGCAATGACACAGGATACATTTCCAGAGTTCGGTATTAAAAGATCTGCTTCTTTATATCTTCTCGTTCACTGCAGTAATCTCAATTCTCAGTGTTCAGTGTTCATTGTTTCAACAATCCTGTCAAGTAGGTAAGGCTGAGAGGCACTAGAGGCAATATCTAGTCCAAGGTCACTAAGCGAGCTTCATGGTTGAATGGAGATTTGAATCTGGATGACATCAGCCACTTTATCACAAAATGATAAAGTTTACACATTGTACTAATCCATGTTCTGTTGGATCATGGTTTGATGCTACAACTGGATGGGTTCACATAACAAAAATCAAAATAAGCCACATTATGATTAAAGCAATGTATGAACCTAACTAGATTCACAGCTTCACATATTATTTTGTTGACCTGAACCATGAGGTACCATTCTACTACAGAATAGAACTGTATGATATAGTGAACAGGAGTGGCATTCCGAAGTAATGTCACTGAAGTTTTTAAAAAGTCCGCTTTTAAGCTGTGTCTAGTTCAAGCATAATTTCTGACAAGCACTGACTCTGATACAACAAACTTTCTTATTTTCATAATCCAAGCCAAGATTGTAGGATAATTTATACATCCAGAGTCTATATAACTTGTTATTTTTGATATAAAGAAACAATGAAGCAATTTCCAAGTAGTGGGTATGTCATTCAACAGAATGTATGCATCTGAAAACATTAAACTTTGCTTCAAAGTCAAATGAATATACATAATTACTTCTTCCCACAGCATAACTGAAGGGTTACCCTAATTGATTCTCTGTTCCCTTATAATTGCCAAGAGATTAGTTCTTAAACATTGGAAAGACAAATTTATGGCATCAATTACCCAGTGGATTGAAGAAGTGATGTTACTTGCATCTTGTGAATGAGTTCCCTATAGATGTTGATTATGCACGAACAATTACAGTGAAATATGGTTATCTGTTATTGAAATACAGGCATTCCCCAGGTTAAGAATGCCCGGGTCACAGATGACCCATAGTTAAGAACAGAGCAAAATTGTATTGTATATGGAATTTTGCTATTGTAGCAAAATTTGAGTTAAATACACAGTGATTCGAGTTAAATACACAATGGTTTGAGTTAATTATACAATATTGTTGTTTAGTCGTTAAGTCGTGTCCGACTCTTTGTGACCCCATGAACCATATTACTTATACAATATTATACAATTATACTGTTCCAGCTTACATACAAATTCGACTTAAGGCCAGACCTTGGGAATGGAACTCATTCTTAAACTGGGGACTACCTGTAGTTATAAAAAATGTGTATCTTTATTTGCATGAGAA